CAGAGAAAGGTTTTCGCGGCAACTTGAAAATGGAGTTTTTGATTAAGTTATTTTTACTGAAATACACAACAGAATGATGAATATCCACTTTTTACGGACTCCATAAACATTATAACAACATAACGTGAGGTCGTTTTCTAAAACTTGTCAAATACCCTATTGTCGGGCTTGCACCGGGCGATATCGCCAAAGTAACCTACACTTTAGTAAAGAACCGCATGCCTATGGTTTATGATCCAGTGCTCAGGTAAATTTCCTTAAGCCAAAGGATACTTTAGAACTGGCTTTAAGATATTTGAAGAATTCTTACATTCAAAAACACCTTGGTAGAGTCTAGTTAATCTAGATAGTCCAGCCAACACTGCCGACAACAATATTACAACTACGCATCACAAAAATGACGTCGAACCGGAATGCGATGCAATGATGCAACGAAAATACCATTCGGCGTAATACGGACGGACAGAATACTTATATATTTACTAGAGTTTAACTAACTTTTCAAGAATTTGTTTCTTAGAGATAGTGATTTTTACCCATTCAGTTATTTTTCACCATTAAAATAGTAGCTATGAGGCATGCAAGCTACTTATGCGTAGTTTAGATAATATTAGCATAATATTTATTATGAACAGGGAGTTCAAAACTTTGCAAGATTTGTTTGATAGTAGTTTACGTAAATACGTAATAATAATATCTCTCTTCAACCCATCGATATGGGGATATCGGGCGAGGCGAACGTGCGGTGAGTGTGGGATATAAGTAAGAGAAAGCAGTTCGTTCGGCTGCGATCGTTGAAGTTTAGCAAATTTCGCAGCGGTCGGTCATTGGATGGGTGACCAAAATCTTCTATCTCGAATTCCTTCGTACTTCGGAAGGCACGTTAAGCCGTTGGTCCCGGCTGCATCTGCAGTCGTTAGCACCCGCCAATCCGCACTGGGCCCGCGTGGTGAGTCATGGCCCAATCTCCCTATTCCATCCATAGGGAAGGCCTGAGCCCCAGCAGTAGGGACATTAATAGGCTGATGATGATAACGACGACATACAGATGGAGCTAAAGAAGTTTCACTTCAGTCGTGTGGTCATAAGAACACTCCTTTTTTTTTAATTTGCGCATTTTGATGTAAGTTACTTACGTTGTAACTACATTTCACTACTATACTTAGCATCGATAAATGGAAAGAACGAGACTGGGTGGCGATCGTACACTTCATTGCCGTTTCAAGGTAGTGTAACGACCCGTAATGATAAACAGTTGCACTTGGCACACATTATGCAGCTCGCCGCGCCCGCCCGCGGGCAAGTGAACTGTATCGTATGTTAATAAACATACAACTCTTACTCTACAATCTGTTGTTTTTTTTTTATAATAATAACATTTATTTGTAAAAAAATGTACATGATTATATTGTAAAAAATTGTACGTGATCATCTTATATATAAAATTCTCGCGTCACAATGTTAGTTACCATATAAAAATATGCATATATACCGTTTACCGCACATTAAGAAAATCTACCAACAAAATAGAAATAGAATCTCTATTAAGTGGGTGCTAACGACTGTATTGTGAAGGCTTATCAAAAGTATTTATTAATCTGGAACAACGGAACCAAAGCGCGATTCAGGAGACTACAGCGCCATCTCTTGACCATTGGTGTAGTAGAACCAAAAACCACATCTTTATTTTTTGTAATAAAGTAACAGTTATAGGTATTCATATTTATAATATTTATCCACATGTTTCTAGTTTGTATATTCGGAATACGTGTTTGAGTTTCATACAAGTGCAAATCACATAAGTTCTAATAAATTATTTTCAGTAGCGATTTTAATTGAATATTTTGATTATTTATTTATTTTTTCAAATTAAAACTGAACTTTATTGACTTCGTCCTTTTCCAGACTTTTTATTAATTTATTGTAATTAATTATTTGCATGCAATTAAAAACTAATTTTAAACGATGCCAAAGAAGGATAACTTCTCACGCGCCTACATAAGTACACGCACCCATTTTTTATTTGAACAAATTTTTTTTTATTTATAATGTGGTATTAAAAAATCTTACAACCCTAAATTTTCTCTTCTACCACCTACCCCTATTTTTATGGCTGTACTAAGTTCGCTGGGTCAGCTAGTATTCTTATAAATATGTTAAAACTAAGGCCATTGTTTCACACAAAGTACTTAAAGACATCCTCGGCCAAACTAGGAAGTTCATCCTGTATTTTGGCTTCAGCGCCCTTCTCCAATTTTATTTGCAATTGCAATGAAGCCATACAAATAACATGAGCACCATATTTTCTTACGTTAATCAATATACAGTACATTAATACAATTAGTGTGTGTTTGTGTGTGTGTGTATGTATAGTGTAGTCTTCAATATTTGCTACGAAGGGATATAACGTACTCCATCTGTAACATAGTGTTAATTTCTCACTTAGAAATTGATGGACTTTTTAGTGTCATTTTATTTTTTTCCAAAAAAACGGAAAAAGAAAACAAACAATGAAATTATTCTTAAACAAATATAAAAGTTTCATCGATAGTGTTTAACTAAAATTAAATCCTAAAGAAATAAATAACCATTTGTCAAAAATTTTCCACATTTACTATATATTTGACGTGACATTAAGTATAGTAAAATTTTACTATCAATGAAATAACGACAACCTTACTCCATATTATGTACTAATTGTAAATTAAAAGATCGTTTTATCGTATTGAAATAAGTTAATTTTGCAGAGTGGAGAGGAGTGCAGTGGCATGCAGAGGAAAAGATAAAGAAGTGACTAGTGACACACCTTTAAATTATAGGTACATGACTTAGGCGCGACTTAGGCCCGTATTATAGAAAGATTCTCAGTAATTGATCTAGTCTTGAGCATAGTTAGAAAGGGATGTCGCTATATAAATAGCACATAGCGATATCCCTTTCTAACTGTACTCAAGTAAAGATCAACACTTAGTTGTCATTCTGTAATACGGGCCTTAATTACAATGTGGCTAGGATGTTCTCAATGCTAAACCAAGTAGTGTTAATACAATGTAATTACCATGGCTCAAGTATAAACGAGTTATAAGTTCCGATAATCCTATAATATAACCATAGAGAAAGGAATCACTTAGAATAACAACAACAAACTGAGTGTTTTTTTTTTCAGTATTTTTTCTCAGTATTCTGAGGTGTAGAGTTTTTGTTTGACCCAAGTTCATTGACACATTTTTACTAATGCTTGTTACCAGTCGTTGTAAGTATTGTTACGCCTTTGCTCGCGGTCTTTGACGTTAAAGACTTTAAAAAAACACGTACTATTAGGTTGTACCCATAGATTAATAGATAAAAAGTGAATGCCTAAGTTATTCATGAGGTTAACGGACGCAGCAGCATTACGTAAAGAAGTTGAAAAAGAAAACAAAACAACACCTTGTAAAAAACATTGTAATTACTATTTAGATAACAAGTAGGCATACGGTGACAGTAATAAAGTTTGCTTACACTTTTGTTTAACTGTTGCTGTCAGACCCGTCTTCCCCAGTGGGCACTTTGGGCAAGTGCCCAAGGCTCCACAAATACAAAGTATCTCGTTCCTGTTAGATTACCAAACGGGAGTCATAGGGGCCCCATTATCCTAATATGCCCAGGGCCTCCAATAGGTCAAAGACGGCACTGGTTGCTGTTGCAAAAAAATTCTTTTAATTTTTGCACATTTAAAATATGTATTCCTAAAACCAATTTTAATGTTCTTTACCCTTTTATGCCGTACTAGAATAATTACTAAGCTTTTTAAACATTCCAACTCTTAGAGAAACTTAGTGAACGCAAATTTATCACACAGGCAAGTACCAACCATCTTAATAACACGAGTAGGAAGTTGTTAATGTTTTAGCTAATAAATTTTGAACTTTATGCTAAATTCAATTAAAGTTAATGTAATCTAAGCAAAAAATTAAAAAATGTTGTTTATCCAGTTCTCGCACTTGTTGTCTGTAAGTTTTGTTCGTGATAAGTTTTTATCGTTGGTACTTAATTATGTAAGAACCTTATTATCGGCGTTATTAATTAAATTACTTTTTAATTATCTCTTATGCTTCCGCGCTCACTTAACACCATATTTTTAATTGATATGAGCATAATAGTATGAATGTTCATAATCATATTTTAAAAGTTTTGGCCGTGGTTTTGCTGTCAAGTTTTATCACCACAAAGACATGAATATTACATGAATGTCAATAATAGGGATGATGACTATTTTTTTTTCTTTGTTTATCAGGTAGATTATCAAAACGTATTGGACACGTATTTTTTTTTTCACATAATATAAACATTGCAGAGATATATTGATTTGAAAAGTCGCATGTCGTCACATTTTGGTACAATTTTCACTTAAAAGTGACGTCACGAGCCCCTACTCCCAAACTTTGACGCGCTATAACTCTGTCATTTTTTGGTTAATTGCCCAAAGAAAAAATACGTGTCCATTATTTTTTGATCATCTAACTGACGGACTAAATAGGATTTTGTTTACTGTACCCCGTCATCACCCCTATTATCATGTGAATATTTATTTTATAAAATGCGCTTTATGAATATTTTAAATGCACTTTGATAAATACATATTTTTATCTTCTATTGCGAAAGTTCCAATTAGACTGAGAGCCAGCGTTCCGTAGAATTTGTGACTCCCCATTACACATCGGTATGGTGAAATGGGGAGTCACAATATAAGTATGGTTGTGGACGAATTTTTCTATTGTAATATATTATATACTGTAAAATTATAAACACAATCGAAAAGTTTCTATTTTTAAAATCAGTCAATTATATTTTCGAGGGCAAAAAATATTGTATACCAATCTACTTTGCTGAGAAATAAATTGAAAATAAATTTATAAAACATACAGTTTACTGTAAATGATGCGTGTTGCTTAGACTTTTTTGATGTGTGTAGTATACCTACCTAATATGGAGTTTGCTACTATACCATAAGTATGGGGTACGCTGGCTCTTAGATCATAATAACTATAAGCGAATCACAGACGTGACGAATATGAAGAGGCGTCTGGATTTACTATAGTTTTTTACTCTACAATTGGCAAGGCGGGAATAGTTAGAAGTATCTACCTAGACAGATAATTCAGCACAACACGAAGTTATTCAAGATAAACATCACTTCTGAAGTATTTAGTTTTAATTGTGTTGTTTGTGTCGCGTTCGGGCCGCTAGGTGGGGGAGCGGTGGCGCCGGCGCACGTCGAGCCGAGCCACTCTATTTGCGGTCTAGTGCTCGCGAGTGTCGCACTGATAACTCGATATTGGTACCAGTGTTTGTGCAGTGTTGGCGCGATCTGTGAAGTGCGCGAGTGTAGTGCCCCCATCGCCCAGACGCGAGCGATGCGCATCATCAACCAACGGATTCTACTTCGAACTAGGAGCAGCAAACGTCTCTGACATTGAAACCGGTAGGCCCCATCCTTCAGACGCACTCGTCTCGCATTTGTTTATAAATAAACTGAACGAAAACATTACTACCTTCTTGAAATAATAATGTTAACGATATGATAATGTATGTTACGTTCTTGCAAAGATGATCTACGTAATAATATTTTTGTTTATTGTATCTGTTAGACTCACACGCGTTGTCACTATTTTTCAGTTGACACTCAAATAAACAGCAGATCTTTATTATTTTTATGCTTTTAAAAAGCTAAATCAGGGACTGGGTTTTGTCTGCAACTTTGCTTGCGCGGTCTTCGATATTTCTATGGAATCTTACATGAAGATAAAAGTACTTTTAAATTGTTAACTTATAAAGCTGCACAGATTCTTCTACGTTATTGAGTTTCTAAACAGCCATCAACTTTCCCATTTACAAATGAGATTATCAGGGCCAAGTTATAATCTATTTGTAAACAATCCATCTTCAGTTCATCAGAGTGATAGATTCATATACAAACAAATAAGAATCCATAATTTCGCATTTATAATACTAGTATAGGGTGTCCGCGACTTTGCCTACGTGAATTTTTTTCCCCAAACAATCTTCTACCCCTCTTCCCCTTTGAAGGATGATTTTTAGGATAATAACTATCTTATGTTTCCGGGACTCAAACTATTTCTATACCAAATTTCATCTTTACCGCTTCAGCACACATCTAAAAGTAGTAAAAGGCAGACAGACCAAAAGACAGACACATACTTTCGCATTGTTAATATTAGTAAGAATTATACAAAAATTCTATCCATCTACATGTTATTAACATGAATATCTACATATTATTAGGAGAAATCAAAATTCCATAGAATTTAGATTGTTTTTAAGGGACATATCCGATGTATGATACTGTCCAACTTCGAAAGCTGCTTTCGAATCTCATTAATATTCAAGGTATAGGCCCAGATCATAATATGTTAACAATTCTTAAAATTTTCTCTTCATCAAGTGACAAACAAACAGAAAAACATCAACGCTTTTGCGTAACGTTGTTGTCAAAAAATATCTGATAAGTTACACTTTCAATTTTCCTCATAACCAAGTAACAAACAAACAAAAAGGCATCAACACTTCGCGGAACTTCGTTGTCAAACCATAATCTGATAAGTTACACTTTTCAGTTTTCCTCATAACCAAGTAACGCACAAACGAAAAACATCTACTCTTTCGCGTAACTTCGTTGTCAAACTATTTGATAAATTCACTTTTCAATAATTTACTTCTATTCAAGTAACAAACAAACAAAAAAACATCTACTTTTTCACGTAACCAACTTCTAATAAGTACACTGGAGATTTTGACATGTCCATCATTATATCTAGATGAATCTGATATACTTAGAGATTTTCGAACATAAAAACTGCTATGCGAATCTTTAGGAACATAACGGTAAAAAGAGGTTGCTGAAAAAAAATGCTATGTGCTTCAGCCAGAGTACAGTCAAATGTTAGCAACGCCTATGTTAAAGTTTTGTTTATTGCACACAGCAGATATTGGTTTGACAACGACCGTATATATTATTAGAATGATAAGCGGTTGCGCATATGTAGGAACGTAAAACATGCTATTAACGCAAATTATTTTATCTATAACAAAGCTCGATGTTTTGGCACCCGCTACAACAAATATTTATACGATAATTATAGCAGTGGTTATTTTTTATCAATAGGTACCTACGAAACTGCGAGAGCCGCGATAATGATAGCGTGACATTGAATTTCTGTCTATATCTATTTAGCTAAGTAATATTTACGGGGTAAACCGCTGAAGTCAACTTAGGCAGCGTTTGGGAAACTCCGTCTCCATTTGGGAAACTCCGAATGTCTTCTCGTCTGAAATACCTCTGTAAACGAAAGAAATAAAAACGGAAAATAATATAAATAAAAACCAGCCCTGCGGTGACATAAATAATAATCATTGTGTTTCTTAAGGGATTGTAGGCTGATTCTGTATAATATAATCTCACTTCCAAGATCAATAGATCAAATTTTTATGTTAACCTAAGTTGCACAACCAACAAAAATAGTATGTAATGCATGTGTCCATTACATGCTTAGATCTTGCAATGACTTTTGAAACAGCTAATTTATATTTGACAATTGTCAAAAATTCGAACCAACGGAATTTTTAATAAATTGTTTTGCTAATAATTAATTTGGAACAAATAACACAGCCTGAATCAGAATTTGGATTCATAATGTGAATTTCCTAGAATAATTCTTATTATTGTCTTTTAAATGTACGAAGCACTTATAATATTAAACAGCTGTTGTTGTTTTTCTGAAGTTTTCCTTCTATGCGAACATAACAATTCGTATCTCTTCCATAAATTGGTTATTTATATAATTTGAACACGCTAACTTTGCAAAAACACTAAAACGGAACGACAAAGAATCGTGTTTTTCATCGTCACTATCATATTAGTCAAGAAAGGCACTTACTGGACATAGGCTTAAGTAATTCCAAACCTCTTGCACTGCCCGTATTCAGCGGCTTCCCGCTACCTTCACCAGATCGTCGGTCAACCTTGCGAGGGACCTACCAACGCTACGTATCCTGGTACGCGGCTCACATTCGAGAACCTTTCCGCCCCAACGGCCGTCAGTTCTCTTAGCAATGTGCCCTGCCCACTGCCACTGAAGGCTCGCAATTTTTGGGGCTATGTCGGCGACCTTCGTTCTTCTGCGGATCTCATCATTTCTGATTCAATCGCGTAGAGAAACGCCGAAAATAACAGTCTCTATTGCCCTTTAAGCCTTCTTATGAGGCCCATAGTGAGCGACCACGTCTTGGTTCCATAAGTCGTCACTGGCATAACACAATTATTAAGGACTTTCGTCTTGCGACACTGCGGTAGATGGGTCGAGTTTATGCTGCGTAGCTGTCCGAACGCTGTCCAGCCGAGTTGGATTTGTCGATATTGACCTCTTTCTGGAAGTGTTTTGTAGGTTTGAGAAAAGCTCTGAACTCATACGACCCTCACGCTGAAATATAAAAACTGGTAAAGTTTTAAATCAATTTGTATGAAATAGATTATAAATCATTCGTTATCATATACTAAAACAGCGCTAGAAATGAAAATTTTATTACCACATAGATTCTATGTGTTTATTACTTCGGACGTGGAATCCTACGACTGACAGTTATTCTTTCCGAAACAATGAAGCGATAGACATTAGAGTATATTCCTGAGGATCAATCGCCTAACGGAATTGCTATGGTTATCGCTATAGCTTACGATTTTATCTTGTTATTTCTGACCGCCGAAGGTTTTCAAATACCTTAAGCTCATTTTCTTTTATATTGTTGTTACAAATACAAAAGAAAAAATAAGATGCGGGGCATTTGAAAACCTTCGGCGTTGAGAAATAACAAAATGAAAACGTTAGAGAAAGGCCCCCTTTATCTTTGTAATTTTTTGGTTAATTGACAAAAGAAAAATAAGTGTCCATAATCTAAAAACGTTAGAGGAGGGCCCCCTTTATCTTTGAAATTTTTTGGTTAATTGACAAGAGAAAAATAAGTGTCCATAATCTAACTGACACTAAATAGAATTCCGTTTACTTTACCCCGTAGTGATCCCTATTTCTTAAGTGAATTAGTTTAATTGACAAGTCTCATAATCATTATCTCAAGCTTTTAATTATTTTGAGTAGAATAATATAAAAAAATATATAAGTAGCTTACAGCGAATATTTTTTTTTTAAATACTTAAGTATACACATACTTGTAAATGTATTGACAAATACTTTTAAGTATTATAAATTCCACTTGTCCCAGGTAGATGCCAGCCAGCCTACCCTGATAAAAACCCAGCATTTAATTGCTGGCTTTAGGAAATTCAATAATCGACTATAAAAAGTTATTATTTTTTTATCATTCTCAGTAGATCTATTGGCTAGATCTGTGCTGGAAATACTCGTATAATGTATATTTATTAACTAACATATATTGCATATTTAAGAGGAACTCGATGGCGTAAGTTATAAGCGCATTTGGCTGCGATCGTTGGAGTTAAGCAACTTTCGCAGTGGTCGGTCATTGGATGGGTGACCAAAAACTTATTATCTCGAGCTCCTCCGTGCTTCGCAAGGCACGTTAAGCTGTTGGTCCCGATTGCATTTGCAGTCGTTAGCATCCACCAATCCACACTGGGCCTGCGTGGTGGGTCATGGCCCAGTCTCCCTTTTCCATCCATTCTAACCAACATCTATTCTAAACACAACAGACAGTGCGTGAATCATCAAAATAACCGACATGCTGGCTAGAATTTATAATTTGTTGTGAAGACTATGTAATGTTACTGTAAGTAGTTAGAATACATTGAAATTCCGATGCAAACACATTCTAAAGATAAATAATGTGAGTGTCTACTTATAATTATTATGTCCATACCTACAACATAAATATTTACTGTAAATCTCAACAAAATTTGATATTGGCATAAACAAGTATTCCAATGTAGTAAACGTGCCGGATTAGATTGCCAGATGGAAAAATACTTAGAAAAAAAACTGAGCATGCATGAAGGTGTTTACACTAATGAATGCGTAATCGGTTAAAAAAAAAGTAATAAAAATATATTATACACTTATTTATGGTCGGAAAAACAAACCCAAAAATGTTATAATAGTTATTTCTTTGTCTACGTGAAAAAAATATTCATTTGCATACTTACACGTCTATTCATCCAATTTTAATATCAATGGCCAGAAGTTATATATTTGTCTTCATGCTTAAATGCTATTTTACAAAACACAGGCAACACCTGTATTCTTTCTCCTCAGTCATTGTTTATTCGATCAACAATTTTCGTCATTTTGGTACCTAACTACATATAAAAGTACCGTTTTGTTAACGTAAACAACAGGATATCTTAATAGGTCTGTTATATTTACAACGAGAGGGTGCCCGCGACTTCGCCCGCATGGAATAAGTGATTTGTGTAGTTTATTTTTTTCTCCAATC